CCATCCCTCTTCCTTCCCCACCGTCCCTCTCCCTTCCCCACCATCCCTCTTCCTTCCCCACCGTCCCTCTCCCTTCCCCACCATTCCTCTCCCTTCCCCACTGTCCCTCTCCTTTCCCCACCGTCCCTCTCCCTTCCCCACCATCCCTCTCCCTTCCCCACCATTCCTCTCCCTTCCCCACGGTCCCTCCCCCTTGAGCGCGCGTGGGTGGAAGATAAACGATGAAATCTCATTACCTCCCCTCTCCCACGTCATCGTTTACCCCCCCACCACCACCACCACCCCCACCCCCACCACCATCCCCCTACTGTTCTATAAAGTAGGACGTGTCACGGCTGTTTGCATAACGTGAACCGCCCCCCATTATCCGAGTGTTTTCCACCCGGATGGGTCCTCCCTCCCCCCTCCCTCCCCCCTTACACCCCCCACGGAGGCTGCGTGGAAGCGATAATCTCTGCTCTGAGACAAAGGGCGTTTTGCGAAGCCGGTGAGGAAGAGGAGGAGGAGGAGGTGGTGGTGGTAGTGAAGAAAGAGGTAGAGGGGAAGGTGGTGAAGGAGGAGGAAGAGGAGGTGGAGGAGGATGAAGTTTGTGAAGATGAGGAGGTGGTGGTGGAGAATGAGGAGGTGACGGAGGAGGATGAAGAAGAAGATTATGAGGATGAGGAGGATGAAGAGTATGAAGATGAGAAGGACAAGGAGGAGGAGGAGGGGAGATATCGCGTTTGTTGCGCACCGTTTAGCTTCCTCCGTCATGATCTCGTCTCACTAGGGAACCTCGGAGCTTCCATTGTCCTGGCGACCGACGACACGAGATGACGTCATCGCTGCCCGGTCAACCGTTAGTCACAATCACGCGATTTGACGCGCGTCGTTGCGCCGCATCTTACAGTTTCACGGGATCAAGTGTCTGTAATTGCCGTGGATGGAGTGCTGTGATTGAGCGAGGGGGGAGGCAAGTTCGAGGGAATGCCGAACTCACATGTCGCCATTATGTCGTCGTTGTTGTCGTCATCGTCGGCAGCGGCAGCGGCGGCGGCGGCGGTAAAGATTCGAGTCTGATCATTCTGCTGCGATTTGTTTAATAAAAAAAACGTTAAAAGCGCTGTAGGGTGCGCTCGCATTTCATAGCGAACGTTCCGTGTTTACGGGAAATGAAATTATTGTAATGCCTGACATTACAGTGGGTGAATTTGATCATACTTTGTGACCCTTTGCCTATTAAGTATTATGTAGTATTGTTTGTTTGTTTTGTGTGTGTGTGTGTGTGTGTATGTGTTAGAGCTACGGTTGAATTATGTATTACCTAGGCTGTTATAATGGGTTTGAAGCAACGGGCAAATTGTTTAAACAAATTAGAGATTGTTTGAGTGATAGATTAAGGGAGTGTCAAATAATCTCGTCTTTTTGTGACCCCCTTAGCTATTAGCTGCCCTCGGAAGATAACTATATCTCAGAATTGATATTCGTATTTGATTAATGTGCCTGTAGAGACAATGAACCTCCATGTGTTAACGTAAGAACTGATGTGCACGTGGTCAGTATGTTACAGGGGTAGACATTAACTTTTGAACACGGGAGCGGGCTCAGCGGGGAGTCCAACGTACTCCCTACCGTACTACTGCTACGGAGTACACAGCAAAATGAGGGAGTCTGCAGTCTGAGGTTAAAAATTAAAGATATTAACAATAACGCATGGGCTTATTGTAAAGATTCATGCGGTTGCACCTCTGCCAAATTTTCTTTGGACATTAGCTGAAAAAATACGGTAATTCCGCGAGGCCGTGCTATGGAACAAACTAGTTAGTATGACAGAATTTTCAGGGAGTCACACGGACTCTTGCATATGTCAAATCAGGGAGTCCGACAGTAAATCGGGGAGTATTTGACTCCAGACTCCCGTTAATTTCGCACCCTGATGTTACCCCATAACCATATATACGTACTAGTCTAGAGATGAGTAATATCAAGAGTCAATAAGAAAATCTATTATGGACTAAATACGGACGAAATCTATTATATCTAATTAGAATTTCCTATCATGTACTCTTGGTAGTATCACATCAGTCAGTGTATACACCATTCAGTCCAAGCTAGAGCGATGAGAGTTTGTGTCCATATCTCTCCAATTCATCGAGCATGGCTGACAGAATCTGATTGCTATTTGCAATTCGGTTAACTGTGAATGGCGCCGAAAAATCACGAATAATGGAAAAGCTGGGCTTTGTTTGTAGTCAATATCATGGCTTCACTTTACAGGTGCGCAGGGAGGCTGAGTGAGCGATGCTAGCAGCATGGACACGTCGGGGTCGTATGACGAGCTGCTGCGACAGGTGGAGAGCCTCACGCTCGAGAACGCTCACCTGCGACGGGAGCTGCGCGACAACTCGCACTGCCTCACAAAGCTCGAGAACGAGGCGTGCAACATGAAGAACGTGCTCAACTGCCTGTCAACCAGCATGACCGATGCTAAAGGTGAGGAGGAGAGGGAGAGAGGGGAGGAGGGAGAGGGAGAGAGGGGATAGAGAGAGAAAGGGGGAAGGGACATAAAGACAAGAGAGAGAGCGAGAGAGAGAGAGAGAGATATATAGTAACANTCGTTACCTAGATATTTAATAGCCTAGAGAATCCGTTACTGAGAGAGAGGTAACCAATGATGATGTCTATGATGGGGACAGTGTCTAGTGATGATGTTGATAAAGATGGTGGTGATGATGATGATGATGATGATGATGATGATAGTGATGATGATGCCACTGCATGAATAAAGGCAGAGCGTTTGCTGCCTTTACGGCTTCAGCATCGTCCAATGACGAACTCGTGACGTCACGCCTAGGTTCCTGTTTGCGCTTGGACTTGACGTCATCATGATGATCCCCGTTCCTCCCTTATCCTGCAGATGCGGATGTGATCTCATCCAGTGTCACGTGAAAGAGCCTTGAGGGGGGTCGGGGGAATCTCTGGTAAACAGCAGTGCTCTATCTCTCTGTCTCTCTCTGTCTCTCTCTGTCTCTCTCTGTCTCTCTCTTTCTCTCTATTTATATCTCTATCTATCTGCTCTATCTCTATCTATCTGTCCCCTCTCTCCCCTCCTCTCTCTCCCTCTCTCTCTCTCTTTCTCTCTCGCTCTCTCTCTCTCTCTCTCTCT